TTAAGAAATTTGGTTATACTGGGTATGATGATAAACTACAGCAAGGAGATTGGAGGTTTTGAGGAGCATGTAACCACCTCTCAATTGCTGTTGTTTCCAGGTCAACCATGACCTAGGGTGTTAGCACTTGTTACAGGTCTCAGCTATGGGTAAATAGTGATTTATATCCACCCCACAAACAAAAATCAACAGCACTTTTTTGTAATAAAATGAGCAACAATAGATTTTTTATAGCAAAACGACAATGTAACACTAAAAAAATATAAAAATACATTTTTATCATAAAATCACCAACAATACATTTTATGATCTATATTGTTCCAATATAATTCATGTATTAAGTAAATGATTAGTCTTTGGTAATTATTTAACTAATTTACCTGTACTGTAAAAACATGGCAAGATTTAAGTAATTTTGCAAGTGAATTTAAGTAATTTAGGATTTTTATCTATACAATAAGAAAGTATTCTACTTTAAGTCATTAAAAATAAAATCATCCAAAGAAAGTTGACATTAAACAAAAAAATCCCCAGGAAACAATGTACGAGCAAGCTGTTCCATAACTTACTGCTGATAATTTTTGTTGTTATGGTAACATTAGGCATTTTCACATTTTAGTGTCATGTAATTCCTCATCTTACCATAACAATGGAATATCTTATTAATAAATAATGGAGATCAGGCTGTATGACCAATAAATATAAAAAGTTTTACATTATAGAATAGTTTATACATCTGATGACCTGATTTTTTGATTTTTTTTATCTCAACAATAAATTATATAATGCTTCCTTTTTATCATTCTATGAACATATATGAAAGAAGCCAATTTTCAATTACATCCAGGTGCCAAGGAAATCTAAAACCCATTTAACATAGTGACCAGGATTCTATCCTACTGACAGCTGCTTATTATTTTACAACATGAGTAAAGTCAAGGGCATATGCTGATGTTTGTATTAAAGACTGAGAAATTAGGGGAAGAAAAAAAATTGTGGGTGGGCAGGGGGGTATCTGTTGATAGGAAGAATAGAAATATCCTTATATAAGAAAGGATATTTTAATGTTTGAAATAATCCTACATTTTCCACCAGTACCAACTAAAGCCATTTGATGCAGCACAATCTTCCAACTTCAATCACTCAGAAATTTGGCTTTATGTTATGCTAAGCTTAACTTAGTAAATCTCTAACTGAAATTCAGACAGAAACACTTTTTGCTTAGATAAGATTTAAAATATTTTTTTAAATGTTTTTCTAGAAGTATCTAATCTTCAGCTTTTGCACTGAACAGTAACACCTTGTCAGTATTGTCACATTTTTCCAGACTTTGTCTTGTAACTAGGCCCCAGTGACATTTTGACCTCTAATAAAGAGCTATTGATTCTTGGACATATAAGTAATTTTTCCTTTGATGATGCTTTCATCTTTGAATTTGATAAATTTGTAATGTTATATGGGAATCAATTTACCCAGGGAATAGAGGTTATCATCAACCTTATTTCAGAATGTGAATAAAGAAGGAACCTTTTTCTTTTATGCACCAACATTTTTATTACATATTTTTAGAATTATTTATTGTCTTTCAGCTTCATTTACTGACTACAGGGATTAATTTTGTGCTTTTTGTATCATGAATATATACCAAATAAAATGCATATAGGTAAATAAATATAGGAGTGATGAGAAAACCAAGAACAGTGGCAGAAATTTATTTTCTGATATTTGGTCACATTTCAGATAAAATTTTTTGGGCCAACAGCTTTTCAGCACTTCTCTCTCTCTCTCTCTCTCTCTCTATATATATATATATATATATATATATATATATGCTTAGTTTGGTACTTGATCATAATAATAGGTCACCTAGTGAAGAACAAACTCAGTGCATTAATAAATTGATTGGTATAATGAACTTGCTAATCATTACATTATGATAGCCACCTTTTTACTTAGCCAAACTATTTACTAAGGTCAAATTAGTCTGATGCAAAACTGCAGCTGTAGGGTACCCTGTGAGTTTTAACTACACAAGAAAATTACTGCACTACAGTAGATACCTATCTCACACTGTTTAGATCTGCATTTTCCACTTTATATATATTTGTTTATAGGTATTCCATTCTGTTAATCTCTCTCAATCTCTCTCTCTCTCTCTCTTATATATATATATATATATATATATATATATATACTTTTTTAATCGGAATTACTCCAAGCAAGGCAGTAATGCTACTAAAACACAAGGGGTTACAGGGTGTGGAAGGATTAGGAACAGAAATATTAATGATGAGCAGAACGAGAAGAGAATAATCGGGTGGACAGTAGATAGCAATTGATGTTACATTTAAATTTTTGCAGATTACAGTTGGATGGAAACCAAGGAGCTGGAAGGGAGTTCTACAATTGAGAAGTGTGATAGAGAAACTGTTAGCATAGAACTTATGGCTGCATCTAACCATCTCAACTGTAAATGGATGAGATTCTGATGCTAGTCTAGTATTGCACTTAAATTCAAAAAGTCTAGGTACCATAGAGAAGATCTCATTCAAACAATTACCATTAAAGTATTTATAGAAAAGATATGGAGAGGTGGTCAGAAAGTGACTGGACCTGAGTCATCAGATCATGACCAATAATATTACAGTCTCTTCTTTGGATCTTATCAAGGAGCTCAAGGTAAATAGCAGGGGCACTCTGCAGAGAAAAACTGTCTGATCTGACCCAGTGAACTAACTTTCTTAGCAGCTGACCTAGCAATGGATTATATATATATATATATATATAGTATTTATTTTAACCTTGCTTTACTGTAGATGTCTCCATGACTTGAAACAGTAAAAGGACACCTGGCTCCAGTATGATTTCCTTAAGACAGAATGGAAGAAATGTGGTTTCAATCTCTACCAAGAAGTACATTTTCATTAATAAGATTTTTAATACTTCTTAGCTGGTAGATATCAATTTCACTGTTTGTAAGAAACAGAGATTCCAGTGTGTGTCTCTCTCTATATATATATTGTGTATTTAGGCAGCAATCCCTCTTTTATACATGTTTCATTAAAAATGACTGATAAGGTAATGCGATTAAGCTTTTTATTTAATTTTTCTTGGGTTCGTACAAGTGTTTTTTTTTCTGGACACAAATTGTGTAAAAACTGTCCAAAAGTTCCACATGTCCAAGCACTTTCAGCTATTCTTTTACTCATTATCATAGGCCATTTTTTTTTCTGAGTTAAAAATAAGAATTGACCTTGATAATAGCTAAAAGAATAGCCAAAAATGATGCTTAGTTATGCAGAACTTTTGGACCATTTATTACGCACTTTGTGTCCATTACCTTATCAGTCATCTTTAACAAAACACACACATGTTGACACTGAGCAGCAACAGTCTGTTTCATGTTTGAATGCAATCTTCAGGCCTAAAGATTATATTCCAAGCATGGAATAGACTGTCACCACTCAGTATTCACCTCAATCTCTACTTTCATATTTATATATGCTCTATCCCTCATATTGAGCACTTTTACTCATAAATATAGCATATATCTTTGTGATATAAACTATTAAATTTTTCACCAAAAAAGAAAATATTCAATATGTTCATTTTATCTACCAAACCAGAGTGTTTCCTTTTTTTTTTTAATTTGAAGACAATAAAAAGAAATATGTAACTTTTGTTTCCTATCTTTACTTTCCATTTTATAAGTGGATATAGCAAAATTAATTTACTTCACAAGTATTTATATAATATCATATTTATTTATTTATTTATATAGTAATATAATAGCTGACCTGTTATATTCAAGGATACCCGTCTACTAGGGCAGCTAGTCACTCCCTATTGCAGACTTGCTCAGGCACATTTGTGTTTGTTCAACACCCACAGAGCCAACCTGTGATTTATACTGCAACTATGCTGTGCAGACCTTAGTTACAGTTTCTGGTAGAGAGCATGTTATCTAGACTGATCAACAATCTGAACAACACCAGCATAGTCAAACCCTCAATCATGATGACTTGTGGCTTTGTGCTAGCACAGTTATCAATGGCCCCAAGTGTTCTGTCTACCCAATTTCACTCACAAGGCTTGGGTCAACCTGTGGTATGGTTTTCAGGCACTTTCCAAAGGTATTGCACATGGGGATTGTCCCCCATCCAGACCAATATCATCAAGAAGTCTCCTTCCTGACAAATCGACCATGGTGATATTCAAACCTGGTTTTCATGGTCAAAAAATCGAACATTCTAACCACTCAGCCACATGCCCTATATATATATATATATATATATATATATATATATATATACACACACACACACGCTTTCTGGTTTCAGTGGGCTGATTTAGAATCCAACAGACACCAATATATATACGTATATTTAAGCATATGTGATATTTATAGATATGTTTATATTTATACATATATTAAAAAAAAACAAGCAGACAAACCAAGCAATCTACAGTATCAATGATAAACAGCATGTCCCACAAATTAGCTAAAGCCATAGTAACAACAAAAATCAGGCCTAATATATAATCTGATATATATATCAAACCTGATAAGATTATTTAATTAGCTGTCCCTCTTATCCTCAAAAGTTCCAACACATTTTCCTGACACACAGTTTTGTCTTTCATTCTGACCTGTACAAGCAGAAATCAACAGCCATTCAGGAAACATGTCATTTATAGCTTTTCACTTTTTTCTCATCATCTTTTGTTTTGGATACTATTCCACATCCTACACACACACACACACATATGATTATCTTGAATGTCATTCTAACCTGAGCAGTGTCTGGTAACCTTGCTGATATTAGATAAAAGCTGCATGTACTGTCTTGAATAAACAAGTTTTTAACAATGTGTGGAAACATATTACCCTTAAAGCAAAATCATTACAATTATTAACTTAGCTCCTAACAGTGTTTCTTTTAATTTCTCTTCTTTTGTTGCTTCTTTTGGCTTCATCAAACTTTTCATGTTAAATTAAGGAAGCACTTGATTACTCTCTGTTCTCTCATTAACGATTATTTCCTTTCATATTTTTTTTTTGCTTCCATTACAGGATCTGTCAATTCTCACACACCAAATGGCAATGCAAGTAGCCAACAAACAAGTGGTCAAACATTGACTAATCAAGTTTCCTCATTACCTCAGCTGCTGACCAATGCTCAAGGCCAGATATTGGCAGTGGGACCACAGGTACGTATTATGAAATATATACTTATTAATTAGTTATATATTATGTATTAATATAGTTGATTTAGAAAGGTTGTTATTGTACCTAAACAAACATGAATAAGGTTGGCAGTCTAATTGTATTTTGATCTTTCTTAAATGAAAATCAACCTGTTGGTACATGTGTTCCCAACTGGCTTGTAATTATGGACATAAGCAGTTTCAGTCTGAAGTGTTAATATACAATCTTTAATTAATTGTGTTTGTATATCAGAAATCTTTCAACTGATCCATTCACAGCCTTTCAAGTGTACATCATATTTTTCATTTGGAAAGAAGTATTTGTTTATTTTTTTTTTCCTTTCATAAGAACAAACCAAAAAATGACAAAACCAACAAACAGAATGAGATCACTATTCACTTAAAACGATAATGATTCCTCACAAAATTACCAAAGAAATCTTTAACTCAATACCAAATTTAATTTCCTCACAGATGAATCTAGAGATCATTTTCTTTAGAGCTACTATATTTTAACATTTATCATTCTGTATATCACTGCTGTACAAAAGGTTTATCTTGAACTTGATCCCTGAATAATAGTGAGTTTGAATTTCATAGTTGTGTTGTCATATCCTGCTATGGCAACAGAAAACAACTTTGAGTGAAATTTACAATAAGTATACTGCAATTGAGAGGCTTTGAAAAAGAATGCATCGGAAAGGGAATGTTGTATAGTCCCCCTTGTTCTGGGGAGGTCTTGGGCAACAGTGTTGATTCATTAATAAAGTTGCATTCTTCTCTCGCATCCAGTGATAGCTTGTTGTTTTGAGTCCAGAGATAAAAGAACTTCAACACAGGGAATTTTAACTTAGTTATTTTATTAACATTGATGTATACATCTATCCAGTTCTTGCACTTGTTCAGCCAATCAAAATCAACTTCCTTGTTTTGTCTTCCATCTGACCCCAACTTCAGGAAGTCCGAGCAGAGATACCATTCCCCCTAAAAATAGTCTGCTAAACTATTATTTAACAGGGATTAATATTAATATTGCAGTGTGCTAAAGGTTAACAGTGGCTTCAAACAAATTACTTTTGACTCTTTATTCTTTCTACATTTACAAGAGCCAAATTAGGCCAAAAATGGTGTACTACTGACATATATGGGCAGGAGCTGCCCAGTGTTTACTTTCCAGTCTCTATGTAGTCCAAAAGCATCTCCACATCTTTGTGTGTGATGAATTATTTTCCACCCTGTAACCTTTTTCTTACAGATGAAATGTTGTAAGCCTCTGGCAATTTCCTTGGAAAGTGTTCAGATGAACTACATTCCTTAGTTCCACCAGTTTTAATCATCACTGCTAAGACCCACCGAGCCACACACATTGTAGTGAATCACCATCATTAAAAGGCTTTTCTTTAGTTAAACTTACTTAATACAGTACTTTTGAAATAAATGAAAATAACTTGAATCCCCATATTCACAGACACGTTGGCACATATACAAAATTATTATCAATATCAATTATCATTATATCTTTTTCTTAAAACAATTTTTCAGGAAAAATGGGTTTCTCAAGTTTACTAAATGTTATTGCTCTTTCCACTATTGATTAGAGATTCCTTCCTAACCTTTTGTTTGAAGTAGTGTATAATGTCAACATCCTGATTATGTCATCATTTTCTCTTCGAGTTACAAGTTATATCCATTTTAGTTGTTACTGCTGTTGATGGTCCTCAAGTGATGCTTCTATTATTTGCTACAGTTCTTTGTGATTCTGTAGCACCAATCCAAGACTCATATGCCTTGTTCACTCAAACCCATTTTTAACCATTGATCTTAGAAAGCAGTTGTAAATAAGCTGAGAGTTTTGATATTTCTGAATGTGCTCAGTACCCTGCATGATATCCATATGAAAGTCTTGATCTGATGCGGCTCTTTAAGAACATAACTCAGTGGTAAACCAATTCATGTTTTAACAAAAATTGTGTTTTGGATAAAAAATATGTTTCAGTATAGTTACTAACTCTTTATTTCAAAAGAGTACAATAAATATTTAAAATTGGTAGTGAATATAATATCTGTTCATTTCAACTATTTTTTGGAAACGTTTTAACCCTTTTCTCCACCAATTATTTTGGGAAAATGTTTAATTTTCAATTTTTTTGTTCATTTTTAATATATTAACTTAGAAAATGAGGCATCTTGAAGTACTTGTGCAGTGGTTAACACTTCTCCCAGATGTACGAGTTGAAAATTAAACTCATTTCAAGCTCAGAAGGGCATAAGAAGACTCAAGATCGGCATATAAACATGTCTGTAGCTGGTTTTTGAATGTTATGTTTTGGAAGTGTTTATTTTCTCCAATTTCTCATTCTGTGTCACTATTCATTATACCGCCCACACATCTATAGTTTTGAGATAGTTAAAAAGATTGGTTTCTACCTCAAAGGACATATCACATGACTAAATTTCAAAACAAGTACTTGGCTTCCCATTTTCAACTGACTTTAAGTGGAAGAACTACATTGAATCTATAGCTGCATCTACTGCAAAAAAAGTTGGATCACTGTGTCATGCCAGATGGTTTTTCACATCAGAGTTTATCTTGCACATTTACAAATCTACCATTCATTCATACATTGAATATTGTTACCATATTTGGCCTGGTGCACCTGCTTATTCATCTCAAAGATCTTGACAAAATCCAAAGAAAGATCTACAATGTAATCAATCCTGACTTGGCATCTCAACTTCAGTCACTTTCTCACCAACATGGCATGGCTTCCCTTTGTCTTTTCTACAAGCACTTTCATGGCAACTGCTCTGACAAGCTTTTTTCCTTGGTGCCCCAACTATGTGAATTTAAGTGTGCTGCTAGATAAGCATTTAGGTTCCACCCTTTTACTGTTGAAATACTTAGATGTAACTGTAACTTCTACTCCAACAGTTTCTTTTCTTGCACTTCCCACATGTGGAACCCCTTTCCATTTACTTACTTCCCTGTTAATTACAATTTTCAAAAATTTAAGTGCTGCATCAATCGCCATCTTCTTGAATCCTGTTCATCTTTTTATCCTTTCTTCAAATCCCCCCTATAACCACTCTTTTCACTCTCTGTAACCCCCCTGTGTTCTAGTGGCTTTCCTGGCTTACTTGAGATGGAAATGATTAAAAAAAAATTATATATAAAACGATTTAGTTAACAAAATTTTATATATCTGTTATTTTTTCTCATCTACAGCTACATTTCAAAATATGTCCCGAATTCTTCTTTTTAGATTCAATTCCAATTAAACAATGTTAACAGTATGGTTATTGAAGTAACCAATATTTTTACCATCTGAGGTAGAACATTTAACCTTATTTATCAACATGGATTGCAGCCATGATCTTTGTGATGGAACTGTTCCAAAAGATGGCTGTATCAGTCTGTTTTCTTTGCTTGCCTGGTACTCTAATGACTAACCATCCACTTGTCTCTCACTCCATGTAGCCAGCATCACAATCATGCCACAAAGGGATATTTATTCACTTGCAGGACAGACAAAGATGGGCAAAATGTCAAGTTAGCTTTAATATGGCTGTCTGAACAATTACATATTCTATAAAGCTTTTCTCTTGCTGGTTTCAGAATCTGTGTACTGGAACAAAAGTTGTTTGGCAAACATTGATGGCTTTATATTTTAGATCTTAACAGAAAAGGGAAAAGGTGTGATTATTTTTTTTGCCCTTATTTTTTATTATGCGGAAATTCTTAATATCCTCAGAAGTATTTTCGCAATTATTAGAAATGTAAAATTTATGTAGAAATGTATAATTATGTAATGTACATAATAGGCTTGAATGAAGCTGTAAGCCTAGAATGTAGTTATTAGCCAAATCTTGATCTAAAACTTTCACTGTATAATGTTTGAGCTATATGATTAATATTCACCACTGAATTAAGTTCATTGACAAAGAAAAATGTTATATTGAAAAATACTTGTGTAAAATAAATTCTTTTTTTCAATATTAAGTAACATTGCTCTCTCTCACACACACACATACATACATACATATATATATATATATATATATATATATATATATATATATATATATATAATGAATAAAATAAGCATTTCCTAAGACAATCTGCTAGCTATAGAGGCACTATGGAGAAAGAGAGCTCAAGGCCATATTAACTGACAGAACCTTAAAAGATTTTAATTAAATTTCAAATGAGCTGTAACGAAACATGCTCATGATTGTGTGAAAACATATGAAACTGTTAGTCATGGTCAGTCACTTCTCACTGGAGATTTGATTAATTATATATATATATATATATGATAAGGAACAAATAGGAAACATCAATCTAGCATATTTCACTTTTAATAAAGCTTCATCATAAAGTGAGATATGCAGAAATAGAAAGAAATTTTGGTAATTTTACTTTAGTATTGTTTGATTTTCATTGGTCAATTATATTTCATGTGCATACAACTCTTTAAACCAACATTAGTATAATTTGTGGTATTTTGAATTCAAGAGACTATACATCCATCCTAAGTTTCAAGAAATTCATGGATTGATTGAATATTTCCTATTTGTTCTTTGTTATCATTCTATCAGATTACAATCCATATCTGATCTATATTTGATCCTGTCATTCATATATATATATATATATAAAATAAATAAATTGCATTCCTTTTGTAAGGCATCATTCTTAATAACCATTACACAAAGCATCATGCTAGACCATTTCAAGTGTCCAGCTTCCCAAAGAATACCAAAATGCAAATAAAGGAATTCTAACTACCACGCAGACACCACATTGTTTCTTGATAATAACTGCAAACAAAGTACTTGAGAAAAATAACAAAATCTGAACTTTGGACAGTTTATCCACAACTTTGAGCACAATACTCAGCACCTTATCTAAAAATTTGAAAATTATTATAAAAAATTAAACATATGAAGCATGTCAGTTGTTTGTGTGTGTGTATATATACGCACACGCACACACTACAATT